CCTCAATAGTTTGGTTCAAAGAAGAAGGTGGGGAAATTCATGTGAGTGTCCCCAGAATGGCACCTCACACAATAGGCACTTTTTCTGGGTATAAACCTTACCAGTCTTTCTAGCTTATATAAATGGTGGTGCTAGTGGCTACATACTCTTTATCGTAATCTGGGAGCTCTTCCATGCCACCTTCCCTATCTTGCTCTATACCAGCCTCAGTGATAGATCTATGCCTAGGGTCTTGTCATCTATCATCCATTCACCTCTCAATCTGTCCATCTCTGCATCTATCTTTCCACCTATCTATTCATTCATCCTACCCAACCGTTCTTCCATCCATCCTTCCTTCCATCTCTCATCCATTTATTCATCTTTCCATTTCTCTTTCCCTCCATTTCTACACCATCCATCCATCCATCCATCCATCCACACACCCATCTACCCATCCATTCATCCATCCCTCCCTCACTTCAGTTTTACATCCATCCATTTCCACATCTATCCATTTCTTTACCTATCTCCATCCATCTATTCTCTTTTCAATCTTTGCCTACCAGGTACAGTATGTGGTTAATTCTTCCCTGTTCAGTAGGTCCTGAAGGTTACTGAAGGTGTCCAATTCTGACTTGGAACCTTGTTTGCTTTTTGTTTTGTTTTTTTTGTTCATTTGTTTGTTTGTTTGTTTGTTTGTTTGTTTTCTCAGACAGAGTTTCACCATGTAGCCCTGGCAGTCCTAGAACTCTATGTAGACCAGGTTAGCCTCGAACCCACAGAGACCCACTGGCCTCTGCCAACTGAGTGCTGGAATTAAAGGCATGTGCCACTCCACTACTCCCTGCTAGAGGCTTTATCTTTTGAATAACTAACTCACATAAACATGCTGACAGCATCAAGTGAAGTTGGGTTCATTTCCTCATTTTCAGTGCTGGATCCCCGTGGCCTGGGGGTGGGGGTGAATCTGTATCTCTTCAATTTAAAGCAAAAGACTAGTCCTCCCCAGCCTTGGGAAACTCAGGACTTGTTGTGAGCCCTCACCACTGCCCCCATTCCCACCCCCATTCCTCTGCTGTTCCTGTAGTGGTCCTGAGGTCCAGCCCCCAGGGCTATGTTTTGGGGTGTTGGGTAGCTCCCGTTGCAGTGACCTTTTGTTCTGCATTGCGCAGGGGCTTTCTGTTCCTCATTGTTCAGTCCTGACAGAGATTGTGGCTTCTCTTTTTTTCCTCTGTCCAGTAGAATAAACAGACCTGGAGGTTGTTGAGGGAAGCGTGGGCCCCTTTGCCAGCTGCTGGGGCTGGGGTCACACATAGTGGCAGGAGAAAGCACCAGAGAATTTATTCATAGTGAAGTGGGGGCAAGGAGGCTACCTTGTTGATGGGCAGATCAATGAAACAGTCCAACTTGGCTGAGGCAAGGCCCTTTCCCATCAGGCCCTCTGTGTCTGGCAGGAAGTTGTTTCTAGCCAAAGCAGTGCTTCTCTGGGCCGCTAGAAGCTGCCCAGGCCACAGATGAGTTATCACCCACCCAGGGCATAAACTCCAGAGCTGACAGGGATAGGGTTTCCATGAGATGGATGCCACCTACAGCCCCTGTGGAGCAGGAGGCTGCTGCTGGAGGAAGTAGAGGGGGCAAAGAGAAAGATCTTAGTGAATGAGACAAATAGTTTCTCCGGGAAGCCTAGTCTGGGAGTTATGTTGGGGACACTCAGGCCTTTCGTGTCAGTTAGCATTCTGTGGAGTGATGGGTACAAATGAGCTATGACACTGATTTGTAGGGTTCAGGGCTCCCCAAAGTCTGCTTGTGTGTGCCTTCCTCACCCCCTTCTTCCAACGTACCTTACTTTCTCCGTAGGATGGGATAATCAAACCACATTGAGTACAACAGAGGAGTCTCTAATCCCTAGGAAGAGTTCTTTCTTTTTCCTTTCCTCTTTATGATCAGTGTGGCACCCTAACCCAGAGACTCTCCCCCTTAGATGTAAAAGGGTCAGCCAGTCACTGATGTACCTTTGACTTTGAGCACAGTCAGTGAGGCTCCAAACAGTGTGGAGCACCCTTACAGTGTGTGCTCAGACCCAACTGATTGTTTTGTCATGAAATGGAAGGAGAAAGTGTCAGAATAGTGTGTGTAGGCATGTGCACATGTACTTGGATGTGTGTGCAACTGTCCAGAGGGAGCTGCAGTGACTTTTTCAGACTGGGTACTCAGCATGGTTCTGCGACTTCTCTCACCCAGCTGTCTGCATGACCTTACTGAAAATGATTGCCCTGGTGGGGGAACTCAGAGATAGGTCAGGACTGCAGATGCATTTATGTTCAGGCTTAGTGCCCAGGAGGAGGACCTTGCCTCGAGGAAATGACATTAGAATTACTATCTTACTCAGGGTAGCAACTGCTGATCACTCTTTTCTGTCTGGCTCTGAGTAGGAGAGCTCACACTGTAGTCTCAGAGGGGCCTCCATCTGGGGTTACTGGGTGAGCATGAAGACAAGGCAGGGGGCTGCATTGGGTTGCTTATCCAGGGCACAGCCTGGGCGGTGGCCTGAAGAGAGAAGCACACTGAAGGCTTGCGTGTGTTTGGACTTTGGCCAAAGGGAGCATGAGACAGCTAGGGCACTGTGGGGCAGGACCAGAAGAGCCCAAGACTGTCCACAGCAGGGAACTCCAGTCCCTTGAGTCATGGCTTCTGGTGGCTTTCAGCTGTTATCACTGAGTGACTGAGGAAAGAAAAACATGGTAAGCTCAGAGGTCACTCACTGCACAGCACTAAGCAAGGTAGCTTGATGCTCTCCAGACACTGCTGGGGAGGGGGAGGGGGAAGACAGAAAGCAGAGCCACAGCCCACAGATCATGGTAGTCTATGCAGTAGATACAGACCAAATGAGCCTAGTAGGAAGGTTGGCATCTTCTCTGATTGGCTTGTTTACAGCTGCTTTTCAGACACTGATCTGAGCCTTTGCTGTGATAATTGTTGGCTATTTTCTGTATCTCTCTTGCTCCCATGGAGTTGAGTCAGGAATCCACATCCAGAGAGATGGAGACATTTGCCTATGAGCATACATTTGGTGGGTGGAAGAATAAGAAAACAAAACCATGCCTTTCTGACTCTCCACCTTGATCTGAGGAGTCAGGGGATTCGTCAGGGGATTCGTCAGGGTTGCTGGTTTAATAAATGTTCATTTAGCTCCTGTTGACCACATGATGGCAGCTGCTGGTACAATGAAGAGTGCAAATCAGCACTCAACTTTAACCTAGAACCACCTCCTGGTCGTCTCCAGGTGACATCAGCAGGAGCTGCAAGGGCGTTGGGTGTGTGTTCACACCCTCTTTGCTCTTGTAGGTCCACTCCTGTTGTTTGCTCATGAGTTCACATTTGTGCAGAAGTGGCTAATTCATGCTTGTACCTAAAGGCTCAAATTGCCATTCCATCATTTGGAAGGAAGCCTGAGGCTTAAGCAGGTCTCCAGAGTACTGGAATAGGCCCAGTGGTGACAGCTGCTGCTGCTGTACACTTCCCAGGGCCACATGGAGATCTGAGGGAGGGCCTTGTGTTTCTCACCATTGATTCTGTGCCATGTGAGTGCTGTTTTCTTTCTCTCTCCTCCCCGTCTGTCTCCCTTTCATAATTATTTATTAAAATTTTTTTAAAAAATGTGAGTGTGCCTGCATGTATGTATGTGAACCACATGCATGCAGGAGTATGCAGAACTTAGAAGGGAGAGTCAGATCCTTTGGAACTGGAGTTACAGGCAGTTGTGAGCTGCCGTGTTGGTGCTGGGAACTGAACTCAAGTCCTCTTCAAGAGTAGTATGTGCTTTTAACCACTGAGCTATCTCTGGAGCTCCTCCTCCCCTTCTTTTCTGGTCTTTCCCTGGAAATATTTGGCACAGACATTGAAATCATTGCCAAGAGAGGCAGACAGGACCCAGGCTCAAATTTCTGTCACTGCCTTAGATGGCTAACCTGCCTTCATTATGCTTGTTTCCTTTCTATGCAATGGTCAGAGTCCATCTTGATTGGTTGTTAGAGAACTTAATGCAATAATACACCCATCTCAGGTCCAGGCTCTGGAAGCAGAGCCTGAGGCATGGCTTCTTGTAACCGGAGAAGGCTCTTAGGCAAGAGGGTGGGGTGGCAGGATGTGGCAGCAGGGTCACATGGTTGCCAGCCAAAACTTATGGGTGTTGGTCCTGGTTTGAGGCCAAGGTATTACTTCTTAGTTGAAGACTAGTCAGCCAGTGCTGAGGCTATTCTCCTGACAATGGGAGTCTAAGCATGGCCAGGAGCCCCCACTGGTCCAAACCTTCCAAGCCCATAAGTGTTAGGCAGCACTGGTATGAGGAGGTGCACAGGTTTGTTTCCATCCTGTATTAACTTCCTGAGGCAGCTCTGCCATGGCCTATGTTAGAATCATCAGTCTAGAGGTGGTACGGCCACTACCTCTGCCCTCTGTCATAGGTGTCAGTATGTGAACATGTACGTATACACCTGTGTGTGTATGCATGGATTTGAGTGCAAGGACACACGGTCCCATTTCAGAACAATGACATGAAGGTCAGAAGAGTTTATCTCTATGTTCAGAGAGAGCTCAGAGGAGGAAGAGCCTACATTACACCCAGGAGAGTTGAGGGTACGTTTGGGAGAAGGAAGACCTCAGCCAGAAGGACAGAGGGACAGATGGGTAGACATCCTAAAAAAAAGCAGTTTTGTGTGGAGGTCCTTGTCACAGTGAACCAAGCCACTGTCTTAAAAACCTACATCTTCTCAGAGCCCTGATAGGACTCCTTCCCTCAGGTGGGAAGCCCTAAAGTAACCCACTCCCTAGCCTAGCACCTCCACCTGCAGACACAAACGTGCCATGTTGAAGAGGGAGGCCAAGGAGGGAAAAAGCCTGGATTGTACTTTTTCAAGCCTTCCTTATCCTCCAACGCAAGAGCCCATCCACGAGGCCTGGTGACAGGTTTGCTGGAGTCCAGAGTCATGCTGATGGCTGCCTCCCTTCTTCCCTTCCAGATTGTCTTGACGCCCTACCAGCCAGAATCTGGGAACGTGTGTCAGAGCTCACAGGAATACTATAACACAAAGGTTCAGATGTGCTGTGCTAAATGTCCACCTGGTGAGAGGCAGCTGCTGGGACTTGGGAAGGTGGTGCCATGGAGGGAGGGAGTGCTTGTCCAGGAATGAGGTTCTTAAATTCTCACTGGGCTGATTCCAGGGACATACATTCTAAGATTCACCTTGCCCTGGGGTCTTGCACATGCTGTGTCCTCCACTGAACACACTTCTCAGTGCCTTCTCTTGGATAATACCTACCGACATTTTGGCCCTGTCTCCTTGTCCAGGAAGCCTCCTCAGTACTCCAATGATATCCCAGTTCTTCTCATAGCCCCACTGTGTGCTATATCTACTCCTCTAGAGTAGTGACTGTAGCTTGGTCCCTGTGGAATTTCCAGCACATGACTGGCCTACATTGATGTCCTGTACATAATTACCAAGTAAATGAATGTATATCCATATCATAGATGGTGGACCTGAGCCCGGACCCCATTGGGGAGAACTGAGTAGCTGGCCCCAAGAGCTGAGTAGCCAATCAAGTGTATGCATTCACTTAAATAGCATTTATAATGTACCTAGTGTGTGCTCAATCTGCTGGGATTGTAGCAGAATGCTGGGCAGACATTCCTGATTCTCATCCGCATGGAGTCTACTATATTTCTTTTTTTTTTAAAGTAAGATTTATTTATTTTTATTTTTACACTATTGATGTTTTGCCTGCATATTTGCCTGTGCACCACACTTCACACAAGTGCCCTTGGAGGTCAGAAGAGAATCTTCTAGATTCTTGGAACTGGCAGCACAGATGGTTGTTAGTCACCATGTGGTTGCTGAGAATCAAACCGAATCCTTGGAAAGAGCAGCCAGTGCTCTTAAATGCTGTGCCATCTCTCCAGCCCCAAGACTACTTTCTAACAGAGGACAGACAAATTATCTAAGAGATATATGGTGCTGTCTGCTCACAGTAGGTGTTGTGATGGAAAGAAGAGTACACAGGGCTGATGGAGACAGAGAAGGATGGGTACTTCAGATGAGATTGGGTAGTCCAGGAAGGTCTCTCTGAGCCCTGTAAAGGGGACAGAGGAAAGCCACACAAACATGGGATCCAGCAGGCCAGGAAATAAGTGCAAAGCCCTAAAGTTGGGCCCTGTTTAGTGAGCTCAAAGAACCTTGAGGCTGCTGTTTGTTGCCAAGAGTGAAAGAAGAGTGTGACAGGAGGTGTGGATGAAGAGATGAGAGCTGGTAAGAAGGCTCGGTAAAGGCACAAGCCTGAGGACCTGAACCAATGAATGATGGAAGGAGAAAACAGGTTTACACACACACACACACACACACACACACACACACACACACACACACA